GCGTCAATGACATTATGAAAAATCACATGTTCATAAACGATTTACATGGGGCTTGAATGGTGCGTTTTCGAGACAATCGTTAGATAAACGTTATACCCCCCTCCCTCCCATCCCTTCCTCTCTCTGTCTCTGTGTCTGTCTGTCTGTCCACTGTTCTCGCTCTATGTTTATCTTGAAGTTAAGTTCAGAAAGAAAACAAAAACCCACATTCGTCGTGAGACGCTTTAAACTAAATGTAAATTAATACGCATTTTTCTATTTACCATGCATATCTAATTCTTTACGTTGTATGTCTCCCTCCACCCGCAGGCTCTTGAACTTCGCCACGGCTGCAGATGAATTGGAGCTCAGCCTCAAGCGGCAGAAGATGCCGAGGGTAAGTGTCTATGTACTCTATGACTTACTGACCATAGGGGATTTATTGTGTCTTACTGACCATAAAGTGGGTGGTTGGCGGGTGCTCCTGTGTGGTTTGCTTCTTCTTTCCTATCAAACATCTATCGTCCTAATCTCCCCCTTCTTCTTTTTTATGTTTGTTACTCTCTTGTAACACCTCTAATCTTCTGACGCTCATGAGATGACCTTATGCAGTTCCTAACGCGTAAAACCTCTACTAAAACTGTTTTTTGTTAAAACTGACCATAAGGATATTGTTGTTAGATTTTGCTGACCATAAGGGATTAATTGTTAAGTCTTACAGGTCATAAAGGATTTAGCGGGTGGTTAGAAGGCTCCTCTGGAAGGTCCTACTTCTTTACTTTCCCTCTGTTGTTGTTGTCTTTTTTTCTTACTTTTTCCCCAACACTAAATGGCCATTATTGTGTCCGTGTGCTTCTCTGTACTCAGAAGAAAAAATAAGGGATTTGTTAAGTCCTAGTCTGACCATAAGGAGTATTGATATGTCTAGCTGACCTTAAGGATGCTGTTATGTCTCTGATCTTATGCCTGTTGTTATGTCCTAGTGACCTTGACGATGATGTTGTCTAACTGACCATAAGGATGTTGTTATGTCCTATGTCTTTCTGACCATAAGGATGTTATTATGTCCTATGTCTTTCTGACCATAAGGATGTTGCTATGTCCTATGTCTTTCTGACCATAAGGATGTTGTTTTTATATTATCTTACTGACCAAAAGGGTATTGTTATGTTCTAGTGGCCATAAGAATGTTGTAACCAACGTCTGTGGTGTAGCGGTTAGGCACTTACCCGTTGCACGCAGGAGACTTGAGTTCAATTCCCATGTTAGGAGAATTTTTACGGAATATCTCGGTCTTTCTACTGGGATGTTGTCTCTCTCTCTCTCTCATTCTCTCTCTCTCTCTCTCTCTCTCTCTCTCTATCTATCTATCTATCTATCTATCTATCTATCTATCTATC